CTCTGCCCCGGAGTGTGGTGGAGGCTCAGGGCCGTAGCCAGAAAAAAATTTCGGGGAGGGTTGACAATTTTTTGGGGGGGGGGTTGAACATTTCGAGGGGGGGGGGTGAAAATTTCGGGGAGGGTTGAACATTTCGGGGGGGGGGGTTAAACCTGCCTCCTAGCTCAGGCTGAAGCAAAGAGTACAGCAGGGGGCAGAGCCCGCGTCACAAGCGCGTTTGGTGGGGACACGGGACAGGGCCTTCTCCGTGGTGGCCCCCCGCCTCTGGAACGCCCTCCCGAAAGACCTCAGACAAGCCCCTACACTGGCAGTCTTCAGAAAGAATTTGAAAACCTGGCTGTTCAAATGTGCCTTCTCAGACTAGGAACCCTATGTGCCTTCTCTGACTAGAAACCCCAGTCCCAAATCCCAGAAGCACTTTAGTCAGAACCAAGACCACCGCACACTGCACACCGCACTTATATTATAATCCCATATCCCTCCGACACATCAGCACTTTTAATCCTGTACCCCTACTCCGGCCGGCTCAGTTTTTAATAATGTCTTGTTGTATTGCATTGTATTTGTTTTTCTGCTTAATTGTCTTATTTGCTATGTATTGTGTTGTTGTATTGTGTGGGCTTCGGCCTGTTGTAAGCCGCATCGAATCCTTCGGGAGATGCTAGCGGGGTACAAATAAAGTTTAATAATAATAATAATAATAATAATAATAAAAGAGCAGCCTTCAATAGCCTGCAGCTCTGTCCCTGTCAACCACCTCCACCAAGTCTGGCCTCCTTAATGAGAGCATTCAACACCGCCCCCCCCCCCCAACTTGGTTGCTTCACTACATCGGCTATTGCTGCAAGTAATGACAGTGTGAATAAATTGTCAATATTTGCTTGAGATAGTGCTTGCAGTTCTGGAGGGACTCTTAATTTTTTGCATCTCATAGACTTAGCATGGGGATTTGGTTAACCAGTTAAAATTCATGAGTAAACCAGGTTTTTAAAAAAAATCTGAAACATTTCGGGGGGGGGTTTGAACCCCTAAAACCACCCCCTCGCTACAGGCCTGTGGAGGCTCCTTCTTTGGAAGCTTTTAAATTGAGGCTGAATGGCCATCTGTCAGGGGTACATTGAATGCAATATTCCTGCTTCTTGACAGGGGGTTGGACCGGATGGCCCAAAGAGTTGGTCTCTTCCAACTCTTTGATTCTATGATTCTATGAATAACCCTTGCATTCATTCCTTATTTTTAATTGAAGATATCTGAACATATTAAATATCCAAAATATTAAAAGTTCAAAATATTAAATATCCAAAGAGCCCAAAAGCAAAAGATTGAAAGTGGGGCCATTCTTATTCCCACGTCCCCGGTGGCACAGTGGGTTAAAGCGCTGAGCTGCTGAGCTTGTTGACCAAAAGGTCGCAGGTTTGATTCCGGGGAACGGTGTGAGCTTCCGCTGTCAGCCCCAGCTTCTGCCAACCTAGCAGTTCGAAAACATGCAAATGTGAGTAGATCAATAGGTACCACTCCGGTGGGAAGGTAACGGCGCTCCATGCAGACCACATGGCCTTGGAGGTGTCTATGGACAATGCCGGCTCTTTGGCTTAGAAATGGAGATGAGCACCACACCCCAGAGTCAGATATGACTGGACTTAATGTCAGGGGACAACCTTTACTTTTTACCTATCTGAGAATATTAAATATCCAAAATATTAAATATCAAAAGAGCCCAGAAGCAAAAGATTGAAAGTGGGGCCATTCTTATTCCCATGCCCCCACTGGCACAGTGGGTTAAAGCACTGAGCTGCTGAGCTTGTTGACCAAAAGGTCGTAGGTTCGATTCCAGGGAGCGGCGTGAGCTTCCGCTGTCAGCCCCAGCTTCTGCCAACCTAGTAGTTCGAAAACATGAAATGTGAGTAGATCAATAGGTACCACTCCGGCAGGAAGGTAACGGCACTCCATGCAGTCATGCCGGCCATATGACCTTGGAGGTTTCTACGGACAATGCCGGCTCTTCGGCTTAGAAATGGAGATGAGCACCACACCCCAGAGTCAGACATGACTGGACTTAATGTCAGGGGACTACCTTTACCTTTTACCTATCTGAGAATATTAAATATCCAAAATATTAAATGTCCAAAGAGCCCAGAAGCAAAAGATTGAAAGTGGGGCCATTCTTATTCCCATCCCTCATAATATTCAAAGGCCAGAATTGTTCAAATATTAACACAGCACCCAGAGGCGGCCCTAGGTAATTTTCAACAGTAAGCAAACAGTATTTTGGTGCCCCCCCCCAACCAATCACTGATATATATTTTCTGTTCGTCGTGGGAGTTCTGTGTGCCATATTTGGTTCAATTCCATCATTGGTGGTGTGATGGCGTGAGTGATGCCACCTATGTATAGAACTGTTAGTTGTAAGATTTAAACTGTTGTATCATGCTTAATCCTGCCCCTTTTTACCCTGCTTATGTATAGTTGTATGGATTGGTTGCTTATAGCTGTCTGAGTACGGTTTGGCTCCACCTCTTCCTGCAAGAGGGGAGAACTTCCTTTTTCTTTTCATTCTGCCATCAGAGTTCTTACCATATGGACGTGAGTAAAAGACTTAATTCTAAAGGACCCTGATTTAAGTTACCTCTTAGCACCAGTTCTGAGGTTTTTTACCCCTGGGATTCATGCTTTATGTCCAGATCGTCCTGGACAATTATTGAGGAGACCCAGGTGCCTTCAAGCCGATTCTTTTGGCACCAAAGGAAGATCCTGAATCTTCAAAACATAGGCCATCTGAACTGGGGTTGTGGTTTGCTCCGGCATTCACAGCCATTGAGGAAGGAGGAAACTTGGTGAGGCTTCTCAGCTTCAAACCCCTTGGACCCAGGACTAATTGAGACTGTAACGTATGTTTTCCTTCACCCCTCTAAAGTTTTCCAGCTCATTGCTTTGAAGAAATTACTTTGTGATAAATAAAACTTATTTGGAGCTATTTACAGCAGCGCTTCTCAACCTGGGGGTCGGGACCCCTTGGGGAGTTGCGAGGGGTTATCAGAGGGGTCGCCAAAGACAATTAGAAAACACAGTATTTTCTGATGGCTGTGGGGGTTCCATGTGGGAAGTTTGGTCCAATTCTGTCATTGGTGGAGTTCAGAATGCTCTTTGATTATAGGTGAACTATAAATCCCAGCAAGTACAACTCCCAAATGTCAAGGTCTATATTCCCCGAACCCCACCAGTGTCCACATTTGGGCATGTTGAGTATTCGTGCCAAGTTTGGTCCAGATGCATTTGTGTTCTCTGGATGTAGGTGAACTACAACTCCAAAACCCAAGATCAATGCCCACCAAACTTTTCTACTATTTTCTGTTGGTCATGGGAGCTCTGTGTCCCAAGTTTGGTTCAATTCCATCCTTGGTGGAGTTCAGAATGGCCTTTGATATTGTAGGTGAACTATAAACCCCAGCAACTACAACTCCCAAATGACAAAACCAACCCCCCCCCCCCAAACCCCCCACCGGTATTCAAATTTGGGTGTATTGAGTATTTGTTTCAAATGAATCAAAATACATCCTGCATATCAGATATTTACAAGATGATTCATAATAGCAGCAAAATTACAGTTGTGAAGTAGCAAAGAAAATAACGTTATGGTTGGGGGTCACCACAACATAAGGAACTGTATTAAGGGGTCACAGCATTAAGAAGGTTGAGAACCACTGATTTACAGCGTTTTGGGTTTTTGGGAGTTCCAGTTGCAGGTTATGAAAAGTATGCACAATATAGTTATCACTAACTGTGCCCTGCCACGCGTTGCTGTGGCCTATAGTAAAACTTATCAAAGTTGAGGTAGATATCTGGACTATTATGTGTGTGCAGCGGCGGGGGGAATGATGGAGCCTGGGGTTGCGTGTGTGTGTGCGGCGGCGGGGGGAGTGGGGTTGCGTGTGTGTGTGCGGCGGCGTGGGGAGGTGTGTGTGTGGCGGCGGGGGAATGATGGAGCCTGGGGTTGCGTGTGTGTGTGCGGTGCGGGGGGGGATGGAGTGGGGTTGCGTGTGCGGTGGGGGGAGTGATGGAGCTTGGGGTTGCGTGTGTGTGTGCGGCAGCGGGGGGAGTGATGGAGCGTGGGGTTGCGTGTGTGTGCGGCGGCGGGGGGAGTGATGGAGCGTGGGGTTGCGTGTGTGTGTGCGGTGGCGGGGGAGTGATGGAGCGTGGGGTTGTGTGTGTGCGTGCGGCAGGGTGTGTGTGTGTGCGGGAAGTGGCGCGGCAGGGCTTGGAGTGGGCATGGCTTCTGCAGAGGGAACGTTGGCCGGAAGGCTGTGTGCGCGCGCCAGGGAACTTGCGGCTGGGCACCAATGCGCATGCTCAGTTGTTTTGCCATTTTGTGAGTGTGTTGTTGTGTTGTTTTTCATTTTGAGTAGATATGTTTGTACCTTGTGGGTTGTGTTATGGGCATGGGAATTTTGGTTAAGTTTCGTTGGGGGGTTGTGGAGTTTTGCTGTCCGGTTGAACCAACCTAACAGATTTATATATATAGATAATAGCCCCCAGGCGCGACGGCACAGGTGGAGTTCAGAATGCTCTTTGACTGTAGGTGAACTATACATCCCAATAACTCCAACTCGCATATGTCAAGGTCTATTTTCCCCCAAGAGTGCCTCAAGAGCGCCCCTGGGCAAAATCAACTATACTGCAAATGCTTACTTTGCGTAATGGGTTGAACCCCCCCCCCCCCCCCGACAGCACCACAAAGAAAGACCACATACTAAACACACAGAACACCAAAGTGTTAATTGTTGCGTCAAGCCCAGTTCTGTATTCAGGTGCTAAATGAACTCAAGGTCTTCATCAGGCTTTGCTCAAAATGGCATCCTACACAAAAGGATTTCGGGGAACTGCCATGTGTCTGACAACATTTCGGCAGCTGCCGTCATCAAGTGCTCGGCCACAATGAACAAAACAGAGGGTTCCTTGAGCTTTTCTTCCAGTAAGCTATTGCTGCATCCTCAGAGCCATCTTTATTTTGAAGCTTTTTTTGGTGGAGTTGAATCTTCTTTTTTTGGTGACGTTGAAGGCTCTTCTTTTTTTGGTGAGGTTAAAGCTTCTTTTTTTGGTGACGTTGAAGTCTCTTCTTTTTTTGGTGAGGTTAAAGCTTCTTTGATGGCCGTTGTTATTTTGCTGCGTTTGGTGTCATTATCCACAAACTCATCTCCATTCTTTTTGGAGTGCACCAGCTTTCCTGCCACTGTCACTTCGAACCATCCTGTGACATTAGGCGTCCCTTCTCCAGTAATTTCCAGCTGGTCCGGAAACTCTTTTTCGAGGTCCATCTTCAGCTGCTGAAACCTGGAACTGTATCCTCAGGAACGACAATAAACCACCTTGATCTTGACCTTGATCTTGACTTCATTGACAGCCATGGCGGCGATTCACCTGTAACGCAGCCGTTTCTCCAAACAAAGGCACCGACGGAACGGTGAGGCCGCCAACGTTCTGATTCTAGGAATGGTGTTATTCTTGTCTGAATGCACTATGCAGTCATAGAAAATTATGAGATGTATCCTGATCGAAATGGAGCATTTCCTAATGTGATATGACTTAGACGAAGGGTTAGAAGGCAGGATCATCAAGTTTGCAGACGACACCAAATTGGGAGGGATAGCCAATACTCCAGAGGACAGGAGCAGGATTCAAAACGATCTTGACAGATTAGAGAGATGGGCCAAAATTAACAAAATGAAGTTCAACAGTGACAAATGCAAGATACTCCACTTTGGCAGGAAAAACGAAATGCAAAGATACAGAATGGGGGATGCCTGGCTCGAGAGCAGTATGTGTGAAAAAGATCTTGGAGTCCTCGTGGACAACAAGTTAAACATGAGCCAACAATGTGATGTGGCGGCAAAAAAAGCCAATGGGATTTTGGCCTGCATCAATAGGAGCATAGTGTCTAGATCTAGGGAAGTATGCTACCCCTCTATTCTGCTTTGGTTAGACCACACCTGGAATATTGTGTCCAATTCTGGGCACCACAATTCAAGAGAGATATTGACAAGCTGGAATGTGTCCAGAGGAGAGCGACTAAAATGATCAAAGGTCTGGAGAACAAGCCCTATGAGGAGCGGCTTAAGGAGCTGGGCATGTTTAGCCTGAAGAAGAGAAGGCTGAGAGGAGATATGATAGCCATGTATAAATATGTGAGAGGAAGCCACAGGGAGGAGGGAGCAAGCTTGTTTTCTGCTTCCTTGGAGACTAGGACGCGGAACAATGGCTTCAAACTACAAGAGAGGAGATTCCATCTGAACATGAGGAAGAACTTCCTGACTGTGAGAGCCGTTCAGCAGTGGAACTCTCTGCCCAGGAGTGTGGTGGAGGCTCCTTCTTTGGAAGCTTTTAAACAGAGGCTGGATGGCCATCTGTCAGGGGTGATTTGAATGCAATATTCCTGCTTCTTGGCAGGGGGTTGGACTGGATGGCCCATGAGGTCTCTTCCAACTCTTTGATTCTATGATTCTATGATTATAGTCCTATATCACTTTCCTTCTGCTTTTTGATGCAATGCCCATCCTTGCAGAGTCTGGGACAATGTTTCTCAACCTTCCACATGCCGAGACCCCTTCATACAGTTCCTCCTGTTGTTCTGACCCACACTATAAAATTATTTTTGTTGCTACTTCATAACTGTAATTTTGCTACTCTTGTGAATTAGAATCATAGAATCACAGAATCATGGAATCAAAGAGTTGGAAGAGACCTCATGGGTCATCCAGTCCAACCCCATTCTGCCAAGAAGCAGGAATATTGAATTCAAAGCACCCCTGACAGATGGCCATCCAGCCTCTGTTTAAAAGCTTCCAAAGAAGGAGCCTCCACCACACTCCAAGGCAGAGAGTTCCACTGCTGAATGGCTCTCACAGTCAGGAAGTTCTTCCTCATGTTCAGATGGAATCTCCTTTCTTGTAGTTTGATGTAAATATCGGATATGCAGGATGTATTTTCATTCACTGGACCAAATTTAGCAAAAATACCCAATACGCCTAAATTTGAATACTGGTGGTGTCAAGGTCAGACACCAGCCAATTAAAGGAGTATAGTTTATTGTTCACACAAACACGAAATTAGTCCAAAACAAAATCACAGGGCAAAAAACACTTCGTTTACAGTGTGAAAAAGCCCAAACAAGCAAAAAGACCCAAAGAATCCCCAACAGAATATAATCTGGATTCACAAGAGATAAAACTTGAAGTAAACTCAAAAAATGCTTAAATGCAGCCTTTCAAGGGTTGTAAAAAAGAAACTCAAGCTTCAAACACAGCAGGAACTGAAATGCAGGAATGCGGTCGATGCCAGCTCCAGACGCTCAGCCGTAGATGTGGAGGAGAGAGAGTAACGATAAGGAACGAAGTCCAGTCCGGTCCGATCCAAAGAGAGACGAAACAGCTGCCAGATCAGGTCCCAATACAATGAGTAAACACAGGGAGCCAAAGCAGCGGGGCAATGCGGCAGCTAATGCAAAACATCAAAACAGTGCAGTCCAGCAAAAACCCACACAGTTCCAGCCCCCTTTACTGCTAAAGCCCAGAGCATAACTTACATCCCAAAGTCTTCTTTCAAACCCATCTTCTGTAGCAAAGATCCATAAAGCGCCCAACAAGACTCCTTGCCGCTTGCAAGGTTACAATAGCAAACACTCCCCTTTTTATTACAAGTCCTCATAAGAGCTTGATTCAGCCAACACCCGTGTCCCAGCTGTATCTTGTTGCAGCTCCTCATCCGAACTGGAGTCGCCCCTAGTTCGGTCCAACCCATTCCCAGCTGTGCCTCTTCCACCACTCCTCCAAGTAGTCCATCTCTGGTCTAATCCTGAAGGTCCCCAAGTCCCATCCAAGTCTTCACTATTCCAACTCTCAAATGTGTCACTGCTTGTGGGTTCAGCACAAATATCTTGAATCTCTCTAACCCTTGTCCAATCCGTCCCATCAGACCCAGAATCTAATATCCCATCATCCAGTTCATTTGCCTCAAAACCCTCAAAAGAATCCTCATCGGTTGGCTCACTAAGTATCTCCCGGATTCTTTTCCTTTTTTGCTCTTCATCATAGTCTTGCTCACGAGTAGTTTTCCTGCCCCTCCTACTACAACTAGTGTTACTATCACTGCCAGCAGACTCTATCACAACAGGTGGGATTGGGGGAAATCAATTATGTTATTTAAGAGTTGTAGTTGCTGGGATTTATAGTTCACCTACAATCACAGAGCATTCTGAACCATACCAACAATAGAATTCAGCCAAATTTCCCAAATAGAACCCCCATGACCAACAGAAAATACTGTTTTCTGATGGTCTTTGACAACCTCTCTAACACCAGGTTGAGAAACGCTGTGCTTTGGAAGCCTAGCAGGTCTGTTTCCCCCAAACTCCACCAGTGTTCACATTTGGACGTATTGAGTATCCATGCCAAGTTTGGTCCAGATCTACCATTGTTTGAGTGCTCTCCGGATGTAGGTGAACTGCAACTCTCAAACTCAAGGACAATGCCCACCAAACCCTTCCCTTGTGGGGTTGGGGGAGATCGATTATGCCATTAGTGTGTTGTAGTTGCTGGGATTTATAGTTCATCTACAATCAAAGAGCATTCTGACCCCCACCAATGATAGAATTGGTCAAATTTCCCACACAGAACCCCCAGAAATATATGTTTTCTGATGGTCTTTGGTGACCACTCTTAAACTTCCTTGTGACCCCCCCCCCCCCAGGTCCTGACCCCCAGGTTGAGAAATGCTGGCCTAGGAAAAGTCCAGCCTCTATTGTGGATCACATCTCCCAGCATCCCCAGCACACTAGCAGGGATTTATTCAACCATTGGGTCTGGTGCTTACAAACTTTGTAAGTTCTTTCTGTTTTTTTTTCTTTTTTGCAGAGTGGAGGTGCTCAAGACGGCTCACAATCAGCTGCGCATTCAGATTTGCTACCTCATGATTGCATTGACCCTCCTGGGATGTGTGGCCATGGTCATTTCTGGAAAACTGGCAAGTGAATGTCTTTCTTAATGTTCCAACTTCAAGTGATCTTGTATGAATGGACACACCTGGGTTTGCAGGGATCCGAAGCATTCTTCTTTCCTCCTACTTTCCTGCTGGAATTCTTAGCAGGACAAGGGAGGATGTCACCACATCATAGAATCATAGGGTTGGAAAAGATCCCCAAAGCCATCCAGTTGAACCATATTCTGACAGGCAGAAAATTGCAATCCAAACCCTCCCAACAGATTACCATCTAACCTCCAAAAATGGAGAGATGACATACTCCATTAAAGTTGGAAGGGGACCCCAAAGGTCATCCAGTCCAACCCTCTTTGGCCAGACAGGAAGACATTATCCAAGCTCTTCCAGGAGGTCATCTAACCTCCAAAGATGGAGAGACATCCTACTCCATTAAAGTTGGAAGGGTACCCCAAAGGTCATCCAATCCAACCCTCTTTTGCCAGACAGGAAGACATTACCCAAGCCCTTCCAGCAGGTCATCTAACCTCCAAAGCTTGAGGGATATCCTATTCCATTAAAGTTGGAAGGGTACCCCAAAGGTCATCCAACCCAACCCTCTTTTGCCAGACAGGAAGGCATTATCCAAGCCCTTCCAGCAGGTCATCTAACCTCCAAAGATTGAGAGACATCCTACTCCATTAGAGTTGGAAGGGTATCCCAAAGGTCATCCAGTCCAACCTCCTTTTGCCAGAAAGGAAGACATTACTCAGGCCCTTCCAGCAGGTCATCTAACCTCCAAAGATGGAGGGATATCCTACTGCCCTTCCATTAGAGTTGGAAGGGCATCCTTTCAGGGATATCCTAATGCCCTTCCATTAGAGTTGGAAGGGCATCGCAAAGGTCATCCAGTCCACTTCTAGTCCTGCCTCTTTTCCCCCTTTCCTCCCTCCTCCTCCTCCTCCTCCTCCTCCTCCTCCTCCTTGTCTTGCCTTTTTCACTTATTGGGAACCAGCTGTCCCCTGCCCCGCGTTGTTGTGGCCCAGTCTGGTGACCTGGCTTGGGCCCTCCCAAGTTGGTTTCTAATATATGTAGTCTTGATTCTTGTGGGTAAACAGTATTTCTTGCTGTTTGTCAGCGTTGATGTGGAGGTTGTCTGGTTTGCTTACTCTGGAATATGCAACATATAATTGTCCTTCTTTAGGGGTCCCTTTCAAATCTATGATACTATATCTGCGTGTGTGTGAATCTATCTATATGGCTGGATGGCTCTTTATCAAGAGGACTTTGATTACGTTTTCTTGCCCTGGTGAAGGGAGTTGGACTAGATGGCCTTAAGTATTTTCTGTTGGTCATGGGGGTCCTGTGTGGGGAGTTTGGCCCAATTCTGCCGTTGGTGGGGGTCAGAATGCTCTTTGGTTGTAGGTGAACTATAAAT